CCCCCCCCCTCTTCAGGCGGAGAGTTCGCGTTCGTGGTCCTGTCCCTCTCCCAGCGCCTCGGCGTCTTGCCCGACGAGCTGAACAGGCTTCTCATCGGAGTCGTGGTGCTCTCGATGGCGCTCACCCCGGCGCTGTCGGAGCTGGGAGACCTGGCTAGCGAGAAGCTGATAGAGGTCGCGACCAAGAGGGGCATGGCGAGCGCGGTGGCGGGCCTCGAGCTCAAGGGCCCGGCCGGGGAAGGGGAAGGGAAGGGCCTCGGCGGACAGGAGAAGGTGGTCATCTGCGGTTTCGGGCCCGTTGGACAGATCGTCGGCAGGTGCGTGTGTGTGTGTGTGTGTGTGCTTGCTTTAAGCATCGACCGCGCTATGTCACCGGCTGACCAATGAGACCGGCGTCATCAGTCTCGGTGCGATTGAAAGCACAAAATGCTTGTCAAGGCCACAGCAGCGCGCGTGTGTGTGCGTTGTTTTTCAGCCAGAATCGACCGCGCTTCGTAGGTAACCGACTGACCTATAAAAAGGACGTCAGTCTCGATGCGGTTAACAACACACAACATGCTTCGAAAGGCCATGATCTGGGACCCCGTTGAGGGGGAGTCGTGGGGGACGCGATGCTACCTCTCCGGGTTCAAGACAGAAATGGTAGTAACAGAAGAAAGCTGTGCGTGTGTGTGTCTCGTCGTGTGTTGCCTTGTCCCTCTTGATCGGCGTTGGGAGATGGGGCGGGTATACTAGTGTAAGGCCTGCTCACCGACGCTTCACAGACCATTGACCTTGCATCCCTGCAATGCGGGGACGGAGCGATGTGCCGGGTTTTCGCCGGCTCAGGCTGCGTTTCACAAGGCAGGGGGTTGGTTGACCATCATCCTTTCGATTGCTGTGCCACGCCAGATATGCGGAAGGGCGGGTGGCGTAAGCAACGATGTTATCGTAAGTTCTTCTCATCTCGTGCGGATATATCTCGTCACAATCCAGACAAGCTGAGATACCACCCCAGCCGATCCACGATAACAAAGAGCCTCTTGCCACGGACGACACACCGTTTTGTTTCTCCCCTGCTCGGGCAGCTTGCTGAGCACGCCCGTCATCAAAGACAAGCTGGGAGCGGACTACGTCGCCTTCGACCTCAACCCGAAACGGGTAAGGCAGAGCATGGAGCAGGGCTTCCCGGTATTCTACGGGGACGGTACCGAGCCCGAGGTCCTCAAGACGGCGGGGATGGGGAATCCGAAGGTGAGACGAGAAAAGATGAAGAGCAAGGGCGGGGAACGGAGGGGAGGGGCAGTATGTTTTCTGTTCGCTCAACACCAGTAGTGATAGTGCACGGTGCGTTGGGTGAGGTGAGGGTCAGGCTGGTCGAACGCGCGTGCGATGTATCAAGCTGCTGCTGGGTTGTACCTAGCGCGTAGTTCCCGTGAAAGTAATGAAATCATTCAATTTGCTACAGTTGACTGCAATGCGACCACACAGCGTGGTAGGCACCCAATCGCGTTGTGCCTAGCCTCCGCGTGTTGTTCAGCGACCTTGAACAATAGTGACCTCAACGAACGGCGGCACCAACCTTGTGGACTCATAGCGCAGTCCGCCGCCTGACTGACTTACCGCTGCCTCACTGGCTGTCTGACAGTAGCTCGCAAACTTTTCACGCCACCTCTCCCTCTGCCACTAACGATGGTGTGGCTCTCTGCTTACTACGCCTCATCAGGCGATAGTGGTCACGTACAGCAACAAGGAGGTCAGCAACCAGGCCGTGGAGAGGCTCCACCAGGCCTTCCCCGGATCGCCAATTTTCGTGCGAGCGACGGATTACGAGCAATACCTCTCGCTGCGGGATTTCGGCGCGACGGCTGTGGTCAGCGATCTCAGGTGACGACACCGCCGAAGGGGGATAAACTTGCGCTGTTTCTTCTTTTGTTGTTGTTGTTGTTGTTGTTGTTTCTGCTTTTGTGGTTGTTTTCAGTTGTGCTAACCTTCGCTTCACTCCCGCCATACCATTGTCCTGTGCCTGCCTTACCCCCCCCCCCCCCCCCC